GCGTCAAACATGTACACACATGCATTGACAAAAGCACACAATGATAGGAAAACGTAGTAAAATTCAATCCAGAATAAGTGCATCCCCGACCGGTTTTGATAGCCTCCCGACGATCGTCCTCAGGGGGGATTTTCACCTGCATCCCCCATATTCCAACCCTCCTCCGTTGCACCATCCTCATCCTGGAAATGCCGACTGCACCGTCGGCCCCGAAGGCAACCACACAGCATCCATACAACATTGGTTGATCATAAACGTTCTCGGAAAACACAGCAAACAGACAGCCTCAAAACAAGAACTACCCCCCCCGGCCCACCTCTCTCCCATTCATGGGTTTTTTTAATCTTTTTTTTATTTTTGTGCACAGCCACAACAGGTACCCTTGTACGTATTAACTTTCCTAACGAAACCAACTTTCCTACCGGCACCACTGGTCAGACCGTAAATACCATCACATGCATTTAAACCACCAGTTCACACGAACCTAAGTAGTGCTCTTACCAGCATACGCTGTAAGAGGTTTTCGATTCCGATCTGAGCCGGCATCGAATGCTGCAGGCCACTTGGAAAGTTCGCAGTTGCAGCCTTGCAGACACGCGGGTCTTGGAGGTAGCTTCGTCAACTTAGGCTAGCGTGGTCTGCTGGTTTAAGATTGCGCTAGTGTGAGAAGCTTTCAGTGGTTCGAGGGAAGCAAGGGTTTAATCCGCGTAGCACGACGAACGTGTCCGCACCCCTCCACGTTCGTGTGTTCGCACGAACGGCTCGTGAACGAGTCCGGGCAAACATTTTTGTTTTGTAAAAAAAAAATATTACTGGGCAGCTCTGTTAGACTATATATATTTGTCGTTTTTTTATTTTTAACTCACGTTTGGCTAAGCATTTGAACAAAACTCAAGGCAAAAGTTGCTTATATTGTTGTTTTACATGTCATATATATTTTTTCAGATTTTTCATCCTTTTTTTTATGTTCGCGTTTGGAGGGTTTTGGACACTCGTTCGCGCTCGGCTCGGAACACGAACACAATGCCAAGCAGGGTTTAATGATCTGGGGCAGTGGTGACTGAGCAAACCACCTGGCAGCACAACTGCACACATTCCCAACACAGATGGTCCCACGTTCCAATCGTACCAGATACAACAACGTCAGGATACCCAGAACCACAGCGTTTCAAGAGCATCAGACAAAGCAGAGGAGGTGCAGGAACAGAAGCAAACCTGCAGGATGATTTTCTCCGGCGCTTGATATTGATCGAGGAAGTGGCAGACATTCACAAATGCCCACTGCTTCGTCACACCTTCCTCCCGCTTTAGGTGCGTCCAGCCAAACTTTATAAGCTCCTTGCGGTGATTCATTAAGCTTTCCGGCAAATGTCGGATAAGAAGAGTGGCTAGCTGCAGAAGCTCAATGTGAAGTGGCTCCTCGTACTCCTTGCTTGCCTTCAATGGTGTCACACCACGTAGGTCACATTCATGGAATTATTCAAAGTCACGAAATTATTCGAGGTCAGTATCAAAAGAAATGCAAGGAATATGAGTGTGAACGATATACAGAAAACCAATGTTGCGAAATCACACAGATGTCGAGGTAGTCGTATCCAAGCAGACAGTACACAATGCACCGAGAAACCATCCATATAGAGCAATACAATGAAGCAATGAGCCAATGTTCAAGCCCGTAGGCCACACCAACACAGAATCCAAAGTCGCTTCTCTTTGTCTGGCGCCCAGCGCCCAACCTACTCTGCCCAACTATCCTACCTACAGCTGGTTCACGCAACAGGCTCACTTCGACTCTCGAAGACCAATGTACATGACTGTCAACTCCATAGCCGACCTCTCTTCA